ATTCTCAGGAATAAATTTGCTCCAACATGCTGGAATCTTAAGGCCCACCGGCCATGCTTTAGCAGTGTGGGGAAGCAATGGGCATTGAAAGAGGACTTGGGGCCACTTTCTCATCAATTGAGCTCCACCATCTCCAGCAGAATGCCAATTGACACCAGCAGAGAGTCATGACCCTCAGCACTCCCCCGCCTTTCTGAGAAGCAGACTTTCCCAGTCATGTTTCTTCAGGGCAAGCAAAATAAGCCCATGTTTGCTTCCATATATCTTGCTTCCCTCTCCCTCCATGTTGTGGGCTCAGCTCTCTGCTTTGTTAAAGAAATCCTGGTTGTTTTAAATTGCTTTTCTCAAGGCTTCAGATTCCTGTCTCTCTCCCTTCCTCCCCTTCTCCCAGGAATATGCATCTCAATAATTGTTGTCTGATCCCTTTAACTTCTCAGTACTAAAGGGTAGATCTAACAAAAATACACCCCTTCTCCCATTGTTAAACCACAAATCAACATTCCTGGATGATGCCTTGGGATTTTTCCATCTCTCTCGGGGGAAGATCAAATTCCTGTCCCCAAAGCAATGTGCTCTGGCTGGACCCCTGCCCTTCCAACATGCCATGCCTGCATAAGAGGCGAAGCCATATTAATGGATGCAGCATGCTTCAAAGGATTGGAATTGCTCCCGCTGGGGGAAGGAGGGAATCCTCTTGTCCCTCCAGCTGGATTCACATTGCAAGCTCAGGAGGAGCTGAAGGGGTTAAGTTTTGTGGGCTGGCTAGCCTAGTAACATTACCAGAGTTCAGTGGGGAAGAGATGCTGCTACAGTCAGACGGAGCAGGTGCCTCACAGCACCAAAGAATTTCCCAGCTCGGAGTCTCCATGGGAGGAGCTCTGACATCCCAGCCACTTCTCCTAAGCTTGGTTTATCCCTGTGGTCCCATGGTCCCTGAAGGTGCTGCTGGAAATGCCTCCCTTGCAGCACAGGGAGCTGGAGCACAGATACCTCCTGGGATGCTGTTAAGAGAAGCACAGGCAGGCTGGGTGTTTGTGGAATCCCACTGTGAAAATGGAGTAGTCAATTCAGCACTTGGAGAATCTCCAGGGTTTGCCTGGTCCCTGAGCCAGAGAAGCTGCACTGGAGCCATTCACTGCAGGACAGAAGCAAAGCATTTGGGAGAAAAGGATGCAACACATGTCATATGCTCAGCAGTGCTGCCCTGTAGCTGAGCACAAGGCAGACAGTGTTGTATAGTGGCTAGGATAAGAATGGGAGTCAGGACCCCAGGGCTTTATTCCTACCTCTGCTGCTGGTTCACCATGTGACCTCAGGCAACACAACCATCCTGGAACCTCTCAACGTCCCCAAACGGCATACATCTGGAGATACCCAAACCCCACAACACACTTGCACTGAAGCCAGAAAGGAAGGGAACCCACTAATAATTAGCCATTAGGGCTGCCAAGTTTATTACACACCTCATAGAGGGCATGTCTACACTAGCTCATTAATTCGAGCTAGGTAGGCAAATGAGACGACCGGAGTTGCAAATGAAGCCCGGGATTTAAATATCTCGGGCTTTATTTGCATGTTCCCGTCCAGTCGCCATTTTGAAATTTCACTAGCCTGAACTCACTGCCGCGCGGCTACACGCAGCAGTGAAATGTTAATTTGAACTAAGTCCTTAGTTTGAATTAACTGTTACTCCTCGTGGAATTTCAAAATGGCGACTGGATGGGAACATGCAAATAAAGCCCGGCATATTTAAATCCCAGGCTTCATTTGCAACTCCGGTCGCCTCATTTGCCTACCTAGCTCAAATTAATGAGCTAGTGTAGACATACCCAGAGTGCAGTTATCCCCATGGTGAGCAGGAGGACAAGGGTATGATGTGAAACCCCAAATGCCAGCAGATTTGCAGCTAGCCTGTCCTCTCGTGGCTTTAATATAAGAACCTAAGAATGGCCATACTGGGTCAGACCAAAGGTCCATCCATCCCAGTACCCTGTCTGCCGACAGTGGCCAATGCCAAGTGTCCCAGAGGGAGTGAATCGAACAGGTAATGATCAAGCGATCTCTCTCCTGCCATCCATCTCCAGCCTCTGACACACAGAGGCTAGGGATACCATTCCTTACATGTACTGGCTAATAGCCAGGGCTAGACAATCCCCGGCGAGAGCTACTTGCCAGCCCCATACCACGCATGCACCAGACTGGCACTGCGCATGCATGAAGCGCCGGTGAATGGGGTGCACGGAGCAACCAGCTGAAATCTACTCACTATGGGTGAGTAGATTCTGCAGTTTGTCGAGCCCTGCTAATATCCATTTATGGACTTAAATTCATGGAGGTTATGTAGTTTTCATTTAAACTTTGTTATAGTCCTAGCCTTCACAACCTCCTCAGGCAAGGAGTTCCACAGATTGACTATGCTCTGTGTGAAGAACTTCCTTTAATTGGTTTTAAAGCTGCTGCTCATTCGTTTCATTTGGTGGCCCCTAGTTCTTATATTATCGGAATAAGTAAATAACTTTTCCTTATTCATTTTCTCCCCACCACTCATTTCTCCACACCTCTATCACATCCCTCCTTAGTCTCCTCTTTTCCAAGCTGAAAAGTCCCATTCTCTTTAATCTCTCCTCATATGGGACCCGTTCCAAACCCCTAATCATTTTAGTTGCCCTTCTCTGAACCTTTTCTAATGCCAGTATATCTTTTTTAAGATGAGACCACATCTGTACGCAGTATTCAAGATGTGGGCATACCATGGATTTGTATAAGGGCAACAAGATATTCTCCATTTTAGTCTCTATCCCTATTTAAATGATTCCTAACATCCTATTTGCTTTTTTGACTGTTGCTGCACACTGCATGGACGTCTTCAGATAACTATCCATGACAACTCCATGATCTCTTCCCTAATTAGTTGTAGCTAAATTAGCCCCCATCATATTATATGTATAGATGGGGTTATTGTTTCCAATGTGCATTAAATTACATTTATCCACATTAAATTTCATTTGCCATTTTGTTGCCCAGTCACTTAGTTTGGTGAGATCTTTTTGAAGTTCTTCACAGAATCCTTTGGTCTTTGAATCACAGTTACGAGGTAAGTAACTGTTCTTTTTATTCTCTGGGCTCCAAAATCTTTTTCTGTTCCTTTCATTTT